ACGTGGATTGTCGGCGAGTGTCCTAACTGCTATGCCACCAACGCACATAGGTTATTACCTGGTGTTTAATCAATGAAGACACCAAAATTGCCTGAAAACAAGAATCTCGTGTCAAATATTTTAAGTCAATCCATACTGACAGATAAGCGATAAGAATAGAATTCTTCTCCGTTTGCCAAACCATTTCACAAAAACTGAGCAAACATAGTTTCATACATGCACAAAATTTATATCTGTTGTCCTAGTTGTTGTGCAAACAGTGCTTATATTATGTAATCTTTCATTTATTACATGCAATTGTGAGCTGATAAGAAGGCTTTGGGAGACCTGAACTTCGTGGACGATTCATACCTGACGTCACACAAACTCGAAGTTCTACAAGCGGAAACCACCAAAGATTCAAATGAAAGTAGCGAAGATAGAGACGATGAAAATACCTAACCGACAACAGCAATGAGCACCAATCAACATCAACGGGAGAAATTTAGACGAAATCACCTCTTCCACTTACCACATGGGCAGCAGTGTTTCAGCTACACAATGTGCCACTTGTAACGATGTCAAATTCAGCTAGGACCTGAGAAGCAGGTCAAAGTTCCATTAATCTCTGAAAAGCGTGGAACTTTGCTGAACTGGGAATAAATAACAAGATTCGGAATTCCAGCACTAATGTCAGTCCAGTCCTTCTATATAGGACTCAGAAGCTTGTCGTGTGCGTTGGGAAATTCATCTTCAACAGCCAGCTGCAGACTTTTATTAAGAACAGCCTTGGCTCCATGGTGAAGATCAGATGTCTAGTTAGAGAGGATAATCAACAAGGGAACTCTAGGTACAGTAATTGGCATTTAACTTATACACTAGGACCAATTGTCACTCCTTCCTTCTGTGGTGGCTTTTGCAGTTCACCTTTGCATTACCCTATCTGTGGTTAATTTAAGAAAGTTATCCGTGTAAACTTTTAATTACTCGTTCTGTTTCACTCTCTTAACTGCAATATCTGAATTTTACTCTTTTTCCTATTGCAATCTGTACATTTTCTGTGACTCTTACAGCTCTAACTTAACAGATAGTGTTAATATACTGTAAAAGTAATGGTTATGTTCTACTACAGGATTTTGTCATGATATGACGTCGGTTAGAGAACCACTGGAAGACCTGGGAGCACTGGACAACTGTTTCGTGCTAATTTGGGACTCTCCATCAGTACACACCCACCGGGATTCGAACCTAGGACTTATGGTTGCAAGGCAACCTCGGACACCATTAAACCACTGAGACCCGATTCATGAATTACAACTTCCGCCAATTCAGTATGTAGCGCTACCACTAGTTAATATCATCAGCCAGTGTTTGTCGTCACACCCGACCTGATGTAACCTGCTGGTCACAACTTCACACTAGAACCTATGGTGGGGTTCCTACGTGAATAGGGTCAAGCAGTCAATCGATCAAATCCCTACAAACCAATACCTGAATTCTGTTTTAATTTACTGATTAACTTCCTTTTCAAACCCTTTGACGTTCATTAAATGTTTTTAACAATTAATCATAGTGATAGTCGTCATTTTACTATATTATCAACACCGTTTGATTTCAGTTATGTAACACTAATATCCATCTCTCCGAATAGCAATCATTGTTTAGCTTATGAAGTGAAACTTGTGCAAGTGAATGAAAGTGATGAGTTATACAACTTAAAAAAAACCAACTGCTTAATTATATTTATGTCTCAATCTTATTTCATTTGGAACAAACAATAACAACACTAATATTAATAAAAATTGCGACATAAACATGTTGAATTGGTTTTTTCAAAGGCTGAAAAATTCATTAGTTTCATTCACCATCACATGCTTTAGTTCATCAAGTAAACAGTTACTGGTTAGAAGAGAGGTGAGAGGGATGTCTGTCGTTTATAAAACCAAGCTGGAATATGCTCTCTTATTCCTGTGGTTATTTCTCTTCCAAGATTCGAACTTGCATCACCCTGTGCTGTGGTCAAAAACGTTAGCACTAGACTTTCCGGGTTGATGGTTGCACTTCCCCTCTCTGTAGGACTGTGGCAGACAGACTGATTGGTCACCCGTGTCTGACTGTAGCAATGAGTGAAATGGTACCGAATCTCGGCGGAGAAATCAATTCGTTAAAAGTCGCAAAATACGCCTTACTGATTACATCCAACATATAAGAAACCTAGTTTTTGACATTCTTTCCGGATGTGCTGCGATGACAAGTCACCCAAGTTGGAGACCACACAGCACACCTGACTGATAATCAGTTTAATCTATATAGACACCATGACACTGGTCACACCCTGCTAACCAATCAATAAATTTCCAATGCACTCAGATTACTGACTAAAATATGATCCTTTGAATAAGAAGGAGAAATCTCATAACTTGTGAAAACTTGTGAAATGTGAAGTTCTAAATATTCTGAAAACCGTGTGATGTTACTTGTGTGCACTTGTAAGCGCTAGCACAATTACTAAATCGAAGGAAATGATTCAGTGAAGAGGCTCTTTTCAAAGAATATATTTTGAACCTTTACAATAATGTATATAGAAAAAAATCCCCATTTAGACATTTAGAAAACAGAAAGATTGAGCGAAGAAATATTTACTTTTCAATTAGATCCTCATCTCTGGCACTACTCTAATATATATAGCATTTTAATTACAAAACAACAAACTTATCGCCACTTGATTGGCAAACTGTTGTATTGTAATTAAAATGATATATATATATATATATATATATATATATATATATATATATATATCCCGGCCGATAACTGGTACCTTGTCGTGGTGGTCGGGCTTGAATACCGTAACGACCCAACATGCTAAACTGACTGGGACTCTGTCCCTGCAGGTCCTACCATGTCAGGAAGGTTGGTTGCGGTTAAACTAAAAGCAGTTACCATGGGGTACATGGGCTCCAGTATCCAATCGGATCAAATGGCGTATGAACCCATATGGGTCACCGTCAACCATGGGAATGCAGCTCCTGACGCTTCTCCGCTGCCTCGCGGATTAGACTCCAAGTCAAAGGCACGGGGGGTGGTCTCTTAATAAAACCACCTGTTTTGGTCTGGGCCCACGGGCAGTATCTCAGCCCTCACACAATGAATTGAATGAAGCAACAAACAATCAATGAAACTTATCGCATGCTATTACACGTGTTACAATTTCCTTCTTTCTTCCCTTCCCGATGATAGTTAACGAATACTGTTTGAACTTGTTAAACATGACTGTTTTCCTTCCAGATGAAGTTCTTTATCCGTTCTCTACATATATATATATTTCTCTTCTTTCTTTTGATCTATGTTGTTTTATTATTATTGTGTGGCGCATCCTTCTTGGTGCCATATTGTGCCAAGTTTTTATGCGTTTAAATATATATATATATATATATATATATATATATATATATATATATATATATATGATTGAACAGTTCGATAATCATTTCATTGAAAAGAATCCCTGCTACTGATATATACGGAAAATCTAATTAAAAGTTTGCAGTGATGAGATTCTAAGATGATTTTAATCAATTTACATTGATAATAACTGGCATTTTTCTAAACGTCTAGATACATTCAAAGCGACGTATATCTGAAGAACACTTATTACTGGTGTGTACTGACTGATATCTGAAACCATTATATTTGAAAGTGAAGCATACCTTTAAAAAGTAAATCAGCTTTACGACCTTATCATTTCTTAATAAAAGCATTTTTTTCCAGTTTCAGTATTGATGAAGTATTTTATGCCCAAGAATACCTGTCATGAAAAGAAATTAATTATCGTGGAATAAACGATGTATACAAAATTACCCGTCATCTTGAATAAAGCGAGAACAACATTGATTTGTGTTGTTGTTGTTGTTCTCGCTTTATTCAAGTTTATCAAGGGGAATAAATGCATGAAGTTACCCGTCATCTATTAGTTCTGTTGAATTAGTTAGGCGGAGGCCAAAGATTTCATCCAGAATAAACCAAGAGAAGTAGTTGTATTGTAAACATTATTTTTTCTGTGTGGTTGCCTGCTTGAACCACCAAGGGAACTGAACTTCAATCCAGCATAATGCTTCTATTTTTCTTCATCTCAGGTTGTTTCATCCCAGTTTGGGACTCATCAACAGTATGCCGCCACCAGGCCAATGAACCACGAACTATGACTAAACGCCTGTCCAGTACTCTCTGGCAGTTTTCAGCTGATGCCAGTCAGTGGTCAAACTTGAAATATAAGTTGGTTAAACAAACAAATTAAGCTTGATTGTTCTTCTCTGTACAGAGTTGTGTATGCATTCATCTCTGGAAATTTAGTTATTGGCTTTAAAGCGGTGTCTGTTCCATATGTGCACTGTCACCAGCTAGGAGGACGTTTACACTGCGTAAAACTAAAAATTCATCTCACAAGTGTTATTAATCTGTGATAGGTATTTTCCATCGAATTGATTGCATTTTCTACATTTCTAGTACTTGAGAAATCACAGGTCTTCTGATCTTCATATTTTTCTTTACACTATTCTACAACTATCAAATGGGAACAAAGTAAAGAAGAAAAAAAACGTATGCAGACTAGCACCCCATGATTCAAACAACTAGCACATCTACTTTATTGCATAGATTACGTATATGCTGTTATGTAAAGCAAAAGGCATGTTCTTTTTATTGATAAACAGAAAACATTCATATGAAACATCACTGTAAAACTCGTAATTTAATTGGTAGAAATTGTACTCCAACTAGTGTTTGCAAGATCTAGCATTAGTTTTGCACTTCTTTTTGTTGATTTTTCTTGAAGTATTGGTTGTTTTATCCTTTACACATATTTCATAAAGAATTTTACACCTACCATCCTATAATCGTTAGTATTCGTCACTCACTGAATCAATTAAGCCAATAAGATAAATAGTCATGGGAATGCGTAAATTTATTAGTCTCTTAGATGATATATATAAAAGGAGACCAACAGTTTATTGTAGTTATTCATGACACTGCATATGACAATGGAAAGTTACTGTCGACAAGTGTCGACAAGATCTATGCACAAATTGTGTCATTTTACTTTGACAACATTTACCATTTTAGTAAGTATATAAAATTTGAATTATTTTATCGTTAATTGTTGCATCAATGTCTATTGCTAGGCGATAATAGTTATGCCTACGAGTGATTTGTATTGTTAACTTAATTGCAGTGTTGGTTAACAAGGCAGTACTCTAAGTCAAAGATAATGTGACTGACTATTCCACACGTAACACATTGTCTCGAGGAGTCTTTATCGCCTAGCAATAGATAATATTCAGCATACCAGTTGATAATTATTAATAATATAAAGTAGTTTTTATTTTTTGATTACAAACTCATAGGTTATGCACAGCCATTATTAGCTCAAAATATTGGCCCAAACATCAATAATTTAACATATCCAGTTATATTAATCCCTGGTCTAGGTGGAGCTCAAGCCTACTGTGAATTGAAAGCTCAAAAGTCAACCATATTCTCTATATGGCTGAATTTACTTTACTTAATGCTTCCAGAGAAGATGTACAATTACTTTGCGTAATTAACTTATTAACTGTATTTCTCATAGTTTTATCTAAATATAACGATAGTTTAAGGTATGATCAAAGTACACTGAATGCACAAGATACAGAAACATGTCGTGTAGTATTTCCTGGATGGGGTCATACATCAACTGTAGAATATTTACAAAAGCTGGATTTCAGTTCTTCGACTATTATGGTTCACTAGTTCGCACTTTGACAATGAACAAGTATTTTGTGAAAAATTTCACTATTCGTGCAGCACCCTATGACTTTCGTCGATTGCCGTGTGAGTAATTTTTTCTGTAATATTTATTTACTTATCTATTCATTCCTTAATTTGCAAAAGTGAAGAGGAATAGGATATGAATGTGTGTGATTTGAATGAAGAAAATATTATAATAACTTATTATTGTTGTAGAGAGGACAATTTGACTGATAACAGCGGTTTTCTGAACTTGGGTAACCTGATAATTAAACGTGTATTAAGCTAAATAGCAATATCAACGCTAACCTTTTTTATTCCTTCACGTTCCCGGTGGAACATGGGGCTTCATACTAGAGGCTTGAAGTTTCGGTAGCGATGGTGTTTATTTTTACGAATGGGGTTGCTAGCCTTATGCCTAACTTCCCCTCTTTATTAGTCTTACTACTGGCTTATCGAGGTAAAGGAGGGCGTCAGCCGTGGATCGAATCCTAGACGCCAGGCGTGGTTGGCAAACACTCAACCGCTGTGTCACCGACGCACAACGCTAACCAGAGATAGTATTTACTTATTCCCTTTTTAAATGCTACAGTAACAAAAGCATTCATACTGGTTTCGAATAACAAAAAATAAAAACCTTTAAAATATTTCAGATAATAAAGTTTAGATATTACGAATTAAAACTAAAAGCTTTACTTAGAAGAGATCTGAGTTAAAGGTGACTCTAAACTTTTAAAAAAAGTTGATTACGAGTTTGCTATTAAGTAATAACTTGCTTTTGATGCTCGTCAGGTAGTACTGTGAAATGAACAAAGATCTCTGCGAGAATCCACAGTTAATTTACGTTTCTTCATCCAATAGTAAACGATCTGCACAAGGCTATCCTGTTTAGTTTAGTAGACGCTGTGAAAACCTTGATCAAGTGAACTTTAAAAGCGCCAACATTGTAAATTGTGCGTACATTAAGATGCTTTGGCTTTAACTGTGTATTAAGATGGAAATCTAAATTAAAAGCATAGCATTTTTCACAAATTTCAGAATTACATCTAAATAGTTGTGTAATCTTTTGAAGTAGACATACTTTACTAACTAATTTTATCATTTTTGTTCACCTGAGCAAAAGTAAGCTGTGTAAATTTTTCAAATTTAGCTATTTTTCAGTATTCTTCAAAGTCATGGTAACTTTTATATGCGTGAGTATGATTCATATAGGATATGTACAAATATCATTCATATGAATCAAGCACCCATTTCGTCTACAAGTTTCAAAGAAGTGAATTTTTCATTTCAAAAGTTATTTACTGTTTTAGTTACAAGAAAAAAAGATGGTTTTCTTTAGTGGAACACATCATGCACTGAAACTGCCTTAGAAAGTAATTCCGTCTATAATGTAATCTTACGTCCTTAATTTACAACTTTAAAAATAAGCATGTTTACTCAGAAGTAAGTAGAAAAAAGCGACATCTTTTTGGTGTAGCTGCATTATTTGAACTGGATGGTATATAATTGTCTGTCTGGACAATGTTTTCAGTGCTAACTTCAGCATAAGATGAATTGTTAGAAATAGTAATAAGCGTCTCTCCATTGTAAATGATAAGTTTTTATCTGCATAAATTAATTTCTTCTACTTTCTGAACTCTTTCCTATGATGAACTTTATCGGTTGAAAACTGACAAAAATGAATTTATCGTTGAGAACTGAATTGGCTCGTTCGTCGTTTATGGCGCTACTGTTTATAATGCCTTAACTATATTATTGTATAACTTAGACACTCGTAGTAATATAGTTGACTTAGAGGTCTATAATTTTCCTAAGCTTAAGTTATTTACAAATCCGTTGAAAATCGAGGATTTCTGAATAATTGTTTCTTCTAGGTTTGAGTTAACTATCAATCCACAACTATCATCCCACGCAGAAAGGAGTCAGGATTCTTTGATAACACGCTACAGATCAGTCACTTGGTTGGTGTTCACTAGTATTTTGTCTTTCTAATGTGGTATGATATACTGAGAACATAATCCAACAATGATCACCAGAAAAATTTCGTAGTGTCAAACCGGCTTTACGTCACGTGATAAACAGTAGTGATGAAAAACATACTTAATACTTTACTAATTTTGTGACACGTGTTTACTAAATTTTATTTTTTTCTAAATTAAACTCCCTGACCAGATGAGAATTCTGACTATATGGAAAGACTGAAGCTGTTAGTTGAAGAAACATACGAAAATGGACAAAACAGACCAGTTGTTCTAATTGGTCACAGTATGGGTTCACTGTATACATTGAACTTTCTTAATAAACAGACGAAAGACTGGAAACAAAAATATGTGAAGTCATACATTTCAGTTTCTGCGCCATTTGGTGGTTCTGTAAAAGCTCTGTTAGGCATTACTTCTGGTAAGTCAATTGTTGAATACTTTATTTAAGATTTTTCCGAATATATCTTATAATCACTGGTCACAAGTAGCATTTACAAGTAAAGACATCAAACATTTGATGGAATATGTTTAAAATAACGTAAAGGAATGAGAATTTTTTTAATCATTTTTGTATTCTGATATTCTTCTGTTAAATTTCACAGTATTATTAACACACATGGGCTGCATGTTTACGCTTTTAGAGAGCTGAGATTTGAGTGTTGTGTAAATAATTTTATGATTGTTAATCCACCCGTGAATATGATTTCCGGAACGACATTGTGTAAAAGATGAAATTAGTCAAAGTACATTCTCTTGGCTATAGTATTGTTGTGACAGTATTTTCAACTAAGAGCATAGAAAATCTTGTAACCTTATCTTCATTATGACTTTACTGCATCGGTTTCATTTACAGATATTTGAAACTAGAGGCACTTCATATATTGTGAGTTTAGCACGAGAGAACGAGAGACACAGTAGAGATAATTCACCAGTTTGGTAAATGTGTTCATTATTTTGTGGGAGGCCAAACTCTGGATAACACATAAGTTTGCACATTCATCAACATTTTTCACCTCCTTTGATGTCAGTCATTTAACTTCAGTCTATACTGTATCCAGAGGAATTACATGTACTTTTATATTCTAGAGATACTTATGTGGTGCAATTGTGTTTTTGACAGTGTAGTATTAATGATAATTTCTGTTGAATGGATTCTTTTCATTTCTTTGCGTTACGAGTGCAACACAAGCCTTGAATATTTAGTAGAGGTCTTGTTTCTACGACACAGGGTTTCCAGCCTCATGCCTAGCCTTCCATTTTTTTCTGATTTTGCTGACACCTAGCAAACTAGGCTTGCCGGTGGTTCGATGGTAGAACGCTCGTCAACCGCGCTGCACGTGCTCCTGAGTTCGTCCGCCGGCTGATGCACTCCTAAACCTCTCTAAGCCGGTAGTAAGGCCTACAAAAAGGGGGAATGTCTGGCATGAGGCTAGCAATTTCACTTGTAAAAGAATAAAACCACTGTGATTGAAATTTCAAGCTGATTATAGCTTGAAGCCCTATATCCCACTCAGAATGTAAAGGAATAAGATGTTTTCAACTTAAATAAACTAAGGTATTTTAAGGAGTGCGTCCACAGGGAATCGTAGCCCAGACTGAGTATATCACTGGCGAGCCTTCTACCAGTGAATCATCGTTTTACGATGAATAGATTATTAGAAGCAAATATCATTAAGGCTATGAATAAAAGCCTTACATTTAATATTGTGAGTGAACTAGAATTTGGAAACATTTCTTCTAATACATTATGTATCTCCTGGATTCATTGCAATATTTTTTCTAATCGTGATGACTTACTGACTGACACGATTATTTAATATTGTTTAATACTTAGTTCAAGTAGTATGTAACAGTATGCGTGGAAGGGTGCTATATCGGCTGCTTTGAAAACATGACAACAACAACATCCTCCTTTCATTTCTTTGCGTTCTGAGTGAAACACAGGGCTTCCACCAACGGTGGTATTGTTTTACAAGTTGGATTCGCTATCCTAGCGCCAAACCTCCTGTGTTTTATGGGTTTATTACCTACTGGTAAACTAGGTGAGGTTTCGACGTTCGTGCATGGTGACCACTCAGTCAGCTAACCAATGATAAATGTAAACGTCATATTAAAAAGGGTAAATTTGATCAGTGAATTAGCAGGTAAATGATAAAAATCACATAAAGCACTATTCAATAACAAATTACTTCAGTATAATTCACTATTTTACTGTTGCTAGAAACCTTGAGCAAAATTCTCTAGGTTGCGATTTCATAAATTACCGCCTATGGCACTGTGAAGTCAACTTTCAATGCATATCTTCTATTCGATTAAACTATACCGCTTCAAGGGAATAAGACGTCAAATTTGTTCACATCAGTTGCGTCAAAGTTAATACCAAGTTGATATCAACAGTTACTGGCTTAATGTCACTTCAGTTGTGACGTAGAGAACTTGTACATTTTTTTAAAGAAATTTTGATGATTAGATTTCCACTCAATCATTCCATATCGAAAATAATATGTAGGCGAGGGTATCTTTGAATAAACCGATAAGTGAATGCATATTTAGTGAAGGACTTGTGAATTATTGATTATTCTGTCTAGAAATGCTGTTCATCTTTTTCGCAGCTGAAGAGAGACTGAGACTTACGAAAGTTCATAAGTGAACAGATTAGTGCTGATTCGATTCTGTCCAGATTTTATGATTGGTGATTTTGCATGTATACACTGCATTGACCTGAAGGAATTCTGTGATTTTAGGTACCAAGTGAGTTGACAAGAAATCCTGTGGTATATTTGATTCTGTGGATCTTGACACTATACACTAATGTTTGTTGGAAGCGCTGAGATGATTCATATTCTGGCTGAATATTTGAGATGATGTCACATGGTAGTAAAGTTAATTATGGATTTCATCATAAAGGAATGTATGTGATAGTTGTAATTATTTTATATTTGATTGATCTAAACGAGTCAGTCACGGGTTTCTTATTGTCATTCTTATCGAATTCTTAGTCCTCTATTGAATCGATCAATGCTTTTCACCTTGTTGGTGTTTCAGTGCATTAAATATTCATGTTGTTTATTAGTAATCATTCTAGGCAGAATTCTGTCTAAGACAGTTTGTTAGTGAAATCTGTGATTCCTCCAATGATTCTTTTAAGATGCCTTCCTTTCCAAAGTGAAAGTCTTAAACTTTGGAGTTACAATAACAATAGCGGTGTTTTTACCAGTTGGGTTTGTTCGCCTTGAAACCTACCCTCCTTCTTTTCCAAACTTAACTGCTGGCTAGGCGAAGGTTTAGAAGTAAATTGACTAGGAACTAAATCGAAATCTTTCAAGAGCTTGGTAAGCACTTTTGCAGTTAGCATTCAGTGAATATTGTGCCTTTAGCTCTTTAAGAGAAGGGATACAGCCCTTTTCATGACTAATGTTTGTGTTCTAAGCTCTGGGAATAGATTAAGACCAATGTAAATATTCTTATTATGATGACTAGAGAACACAGTTTAGTCAAATGCGAATTTCTGGTGATTTCTTGTCAGGCGTTACAATTACACCACACACACACACACATACATACACACACACAATGTTATTAAGCGTAGATATTTGGCACTAATGTGGTCAACTGTATCAAAGTTCGGACATATAAATTAGTGGAAAATGATCCATGTGATAATAATTACAATGACAAAAATAAATTCATGCAAATGTTTATATGAGATAAAGGCTGTCAATTACTGTTTGTTTAGAATTAGAATACCTGAAAAAATATAGGCTTAATTTGTAAATAATCAAGAGGCACTTAAATTGAATGTATTTTCCTATGGTCTGAGTATCATATTCAAGTTTCGGTTTGCAGGTATTAGATTTGACTGGTCACTGGATTTTACCATCAGCTGACATCGGTTAGAGAGTTACTAGAAAACCATCTGACAGTACTGGACGGCTGTTTCTTCCTAATTTGGGATTCTTCATCAGCACACACCCACCGAGGTTCGAACCCAGGACCTTCTGGTCATGAGGCAACCTCCTAAACCATTAAGCCACTGGGACCCATTTCAATGGCCAGTTCATGAATTCCAACTTCCTCCAATTCAGTATGTAGCGCTACCACTAGTTAATATCATCACCTAGTGTTTTTCCTCACACCCTACCTGCTGTACCCTGCTGGTCATGACTTCTCACTAGATTTTCCAATCGTTCTGTAACTTGTATCTGAGTTTTATTCAGCTTACCTTCAGATTTAATAAAATAACTTCATTTTGTGTTCAGAATGAACATACATTCTTTGTGATACGTAAACAGAAGCATAAAATTCAAGCGTCCACTAAGGTGTTCACTTTAAATCAAAAACCATACAATATCCACGCATGACTATCGTTCACTAGCTTTATTCAATATATTTATGAATAGTTTGGGATATACAGGTTCTGGAATATTTAATCGTACCTTTGAGGTATGTTGGCAGTCTCAAGGATTACATATTCGCCATGGTGAAATCCGAACATATCTATTTTGTTTTCTTCCACAAATATAAACTCTTCAACAGCTATAATTTTTACTAACTATTGAATTAAGACACGAACAGAAATAACTAGTTGTGAGCAAGTGTAAAGTATAATATAGACGAAATAAGTGCGATGAGACACGTGTCTTCAAAGCCCCTAACGTTAATCAATCTATTGCCTTAGTTTTTTATCGTCTCATCTTATACTCGCAAGGGTTAGTGTAGTTCAGTGTCCAGGTAACAGGGCTGTAAATTCAACTTTTTTTTCCCTTCACGTTCCCAGGAGAATATATGGCTTCAGGCTAGAGGCCTAAAGTTTCTGTAGAAGTATTTATTTTTATAGGATGGGGTTGCTAGCCTCATGCCCAACCTTTCCTCTTCACCAGCTTTACTTCTGGCTGAGTGAGGTAAAGGAGTGCGCCGGCCAGGGATCGAACCCCAGACCATGTGCATGGTCGGCGAGCGTCCTAACCGCTGTGCCACCAACGCGAATTTATCTTGCAAGTCATAATTTTTAACTGATCAGTGAAGCACGAAAAACCTCTTAACATCAAAAGTGATGAAATTAATAGTGTAAAAGAGAATACTGGACGCTTCTATAGTGTTGTAACACCAAAAGAAAACGTCAGGGGTCTTACGAAAGTCACCTAATAAGACCATAACTAAAGCCGGATTTTTAACGTACTGGCTTGCCATAAGACATTAGACAAAATAACAATCTAGTCTAACACATAGAGAGGAACAACTGTATAGCCAAGTAGATAAGTCAGACTAGTCCACTGAAATCACATAGATTGTCAAAGCATAGAAATATAATCAAATGCTGAATGATAGCTTGAGAGAAGAGTTCGTCATTTGTAGAAGTGTTTTCAATTCCTTTTTAATCTATGAAACGTAGAAAACAAAGCCATGATGATTTATGCAGTAACACACACTCATAAGATAGAATGGGACAGACTAACATTTGCACAACTTAATGTTCTGAGAAGAGAAAAAGTGACAAATGAATCTTTGTTCTTCAAATCAAAATCCATTGTGTGGAACAGAAGTGATATAGTGCCTGTACTGAAGCATGGAAAGAACTCTTATCTATATTGTCTAAAAGAAGAGTTACAGGAATATAATAAGAAGCTGCGTATGAGTCAGGAACTTAGCGTGTTACGAATAGGGTTTCCAACATGCTGCAGACTTTTATCAACAGCTGTCTACTTCGCTGGCTCCATACTGAAGCTCAAATGACTGACCAGAAAGAATTAGTAACAAGAATTCATGGGAAGGAAACAATCAAGAACCTATCATTCAACAAATATGTAGGAGAAAATGGAGATGGACAGGTCACAACACACTGAGGAGATCGTATAATGACTTCGCGCGTAATACAGGCCATCGTACAAGTGGGTCGTCACCTTGTGCTATATTGTATAAATTAACACCTAGAAGTAGTAATAATAAAAATTCAATATGATTGACGAAAGATAAACAATGTTTTTATTGACTTTCTAACTGACGAATAACCTACACACCAATCTTCTCAACAGTTTACTATGAAATCTAAGTAGATAAATATTTGAGGATAAAATTTCTGTTTAATTGAGGTCTGTAAAATTTGCACTTCCAGTCTGTGCTTATTGTAGCTTTAAAGCTTCTCTAAACTGATGTGCTGTTGTTATATAGGTTGAAAGAAAAATATAAACAAACAAAAGAATGATTTGGTGTGTACCACTACTAGTGGAATTTTAAGTTTGGAATGAATCGTACTAGGAAAGCGTTTATTTAGTTGATTCAAAATTTCAGAGGTATATTTAAAAGAAGTTCTTAATTATCTTTCAAAATCTTTTGACATGAAAACCACTGTTTTGCTGCCAGTTGTACACTTTCGGATTATTGCACAGGTATAGGCAGTTCAAGGACTGTGTAAATGACGTGTTTGTAAGCCATTATGACGCGAAATGTCATTGCTATGCTAGGGTTAGGATACATTTATTCGAATAGCCCAGCTGCTTTATAAATTAGGTCTTAACTGTAGAAAAAGACTGTTCAAAAAAAGAGATTTTCAAGGATTCATAAATCTGTTAGAGTTTGCCAGGGGTAATGAGTGTTATTGTGAGTGATTATCCTTTTTATAATTGCACATCTTTCTGTGTTCTAAGGAACAGTTGCTGATTTTTGAATAAAATATGTGATTGTCCCTTGAAGGTTATGCAACGCTTATTAAATTTTCTGTGCTGACTGCTGATTCCTCTCAGTATCTGTCTATTTTTGTTATAATAGAGTGAGATCTTAAATATTTGCGTTTTCAAGTGTTGGTTTGTAGGGATTTGATTGGTTACAGGACTTCATCATGAACTGACACTAGTTAGAGAACCATTGGAAATCCTGGGAGTACTGGACAGCTGTTTCGTCCTAGTTTGGGACCCTTCATCAGCACGCGCCCACCCGGATTCGAACCCAGGACCTTCTGGTTACAAAGCGACCTCGTATACCATTAAGCTACTGGGACCCGACCCAATGGCCCATGAATTTTAACTTCTGCCAATTCACGACATAGCGTGACCCCTAGCCAATGTCTTCGGCGAGTATTTGTCCTCACACCCGACCTGTTGCGTTCTACTGGTTTTCTTCGTTTTCAACATTACTCCATTATTAATTTTTTCTTTTACTGTTCCTCAGTGGAACAGGGTTTCAAGGTTGAGTTTTAAAGTTTCAGTAGCAGTGATTATATTTTTATATGGTAGGCTAGCTAGTCCCACTCCCAACATTCCCTCTTTATCTGCTTATCGAGGTTGGAGAGTGTGTCAGTCGGTTATCGAACCCAGGACCACATGAGGCGCGGTTAGTGAGCGTTCTGCCTCCGTCACCAACGCATTATTCCATTCCACTGTTTAATTGTGATAACTTGTTACACCACAGAGACCCTAGCCCAAAGTCACTGGTATTTTATTCATAAAATTTTATTTAATTAAATGCAGTTCAAAGCGTTTAGTTCTCAATTAACGTCCTTTTGACATACGTTGACTGCCACATGACTTGAACAAATGAAAATGCCGACGGCTCTGAGCGTTTTTTGCTGAGCAATGCAGGTTCCACATGAAAGGATATCAACTTTCTTCAGACTTCAAGTACGCCATGTTGATAAGTGGCTAAAATAATGAAAGAGAGTTCTAGGGTTTCGTAATTAAGTTGTACATATGTTCGCACTAAAACGTTTTCTACCTGGTAAGTGTAGAATACATGAATATGCTGATTTGTATTATACCAGCGATTATAAATTAATATCTGTATTGACTGTTCTTCACACAGAAATGTATGCTAGTAAGAACTGTTCGAAGTCTTGTACAAATTCATCTACGAAATGGAAATATAACACTGTTATGACAGAATGATACTGGGTAGTAGGTTAGACTAGCTTGACTACGGTGTGTCTCCAGAACAAGACAATATAACTAACTAATTACTAAAAAATTATCCCTCAGACTAAGATGAACACAAAAGTCAGACAGAGAAGAATGACAACCGGGACGACAGAGTGTGTAGTACATTATATTTACGAAACCCTAAGAAATTAAAGCTGAACGAATCTCCAATGATGTTATCATGTCAGTACATGCATAAATGAATAATTCACAGAAAACAAAAGAAGCTTTTCCGTTCGAACAAACACTTTGATGTAGCTGGGGCATAAGAAGTGCAAACGTTGTATACCACCTCTATAGGTGCGAATAATCTTTCTTACCATTGAAATCATCAGTAATTGTATTCCTAAATACATACTGTCTTCACTGTGTTTCTTTATTCTGGTCTCTTGTTTTTAACAATTCTAGTTGTTGTTCACACTTGCACCACATGAATTCTTTTGAATTATGTAGTGTTCCTTAATTTCTGAGAGTAACTTAATCAAAAACAATGTGTCTTTTTCAATCAATGTCAAGCACTGAAAATAACTTCCATGATATTATTGATGACAACTCTCTGCTTTACTACACCTTTGTTTTCAACTCATCGCCTTTAACTGATTATTTGTGATACTTATTTAGATAAAACGGGGCAGCTGTTGGCACCCTTACATTATCAAATTTCAGTAGCTTTTTAGTTAGAGATGTGTATCTTTTTAAGTTCTGTCATCAAAGCTTATAATCTTCTATTGTTTGTTTTCAATTTTTAGGCGATAATTTTTCCATATTTTTCCGAAATCCTTTATCTTTTCGTCCAATTCTACGATCGTTTACTTCTGTTGTGTCAACTGTGCCAAATCCTAGAGTATGGCCTCCAGATCAGGTGTTGATATCAACACCAACAAAAAATTATACAGTGAATGATTACCTAACTCTTTTCAAGGACATAGGTTTCCCACTGGGTGAGTTCACAAGACATCGTACTCAAGAGTGTAAATTTTATTGATATTCATATTAGACTTACATAAAACTTCATTTAATCGTAAGTTATAAGTATATACTTCGAGATAGACAATCCGGAAATGCAAAGTAACTGACAATACTGTCTTTCAGAGTTTGGTTTGTAAGGATTAGATTCGTTTATATGTGTTTGACCACGGATTGATATCAGTTAGAGAACCATTGAAAACCAGGGAGTACTGGATGAAACAGCTGTCAAGTACTCCCTGGTTTTCAATGGTTCTTTAACTAATATCAATCTGTGGTCAAACACGTATAAACAAATACCGTCTTTATTCTATAGTCGCTTTGTCTGCCGAATCTTTTGTATACAGAATTTAATTAGGAAGATGGCTAGTGAATAAAATAGACTAGGTCAGATTAAAGTGTTGAGGTCAATGATTTTCACTATCACTTGTATGCAATCATAGATGTAACTGATCACTATCAGAGTGAACCCGAATTTCTCTCGTTATCATGATATTATTTATTATTATTCCCTTGGGTTCTGAGTGGAATATAGGGCTTCAGCAACACACCTGGACTTTGTCCTATTCTCTGCTGTACTCTTCAGCTGGCTGTGCTCACGATTGCCCGTAACCTCTTATTTCCTCCTCACCACAAGATCTCCTTCATGTCACTCTCGATGTGACGACCCAATCGTTGCTTCTCATTGGGATTCCACTCGAGTTATGGCCTGATTTGCGAGCGTTGTCACTCGATGGTCTTCTCAGTGTGCACCCTGTCCGTCTGCATTTTCTCTTATATATACATATATACATATATATGTTGAACAATAGCTTCTTGGTTGGTTTGTCACCTGCCAGAGTATCCTGTGACTAATTATCTCTGATCGATCATTTAGTCTTCAATAGAGAGACAGCCAAGACAGGCAGCTGTTGATAAAAGTCTACATCTGGCTATTTGAAACGCTCTTCGCGATGAGTAGTGCAAGTTTATGACCCATATAGAAGTGCTGACTGACTTAACACTTGTGTTAAAAATCCGAATCTTGTTATTTATGCTGAGATGGAGTGCAGAAGATCCCCTGACTGATTTCAGAATGATGAAGATGTATTTTGCCTTTCCGATTGTAGCTGGCTGGTTGGCTTCGACCTCTTCATCCGTTCTGACTGCCTATGGTTGACACAACTTTTTCCTATTTAAGTGAAAGCAGTAATCTTTGTTAAATCTCTCCCATTGTTGGTGATTAGTGTTGGTTGTTGTTGTTGTTGTCGCTGTTGCTTTTCATTGGTTGTCTTCATCACCTCCGTCTTCTCTGTGTTCACCTAGAGTCCTATCTTCATTGGTTCTTTAGGCAGTTTGTTAGTTATCATGTTACTTACAACTAATTTACATGAAAATTCAAAATACTTTAAAATGAGTTGGGGTTAAGAAATAAGGGAAATAAATATCTGCTTGCAATAATTAAATAAAGATTTCTTACGCTTATCTCAGTTTGTTTAATTTAGAGTGTGTTTTGTTACACCAAACACTAGTATGAATATCCTATCATCTACTGGAAACCACAACGGAAATGAAAGCGTAAAATGTTCATTTAAATTTACCTGGTATCAGTTATGCCTGTTTTACATTCGAAGAATGATTATTCATCACATCCTTTACGTGGAAGAAGAATTTTACCATTAATTTCAAATTGAATTCTGTTTGAGATCCTTCCTGAGAAGTAGGATATAACTATTCATGTTCATGTCAGCATCATAAGTGAGCAAGAGTTGGGAAAAGATTTATACAATTGGTGGATGGTGGCTAGCAGTGGAATCCAGGATGCGCATTTCGTCCTATTTGGGACTCGTCATCTGGATGTACGTGCATTTCTCAGTGAGTGATGATGTTCCCACTGAGCCTCAAACCCAGTGCCCATAGTTTCAAACGCCAAAGCGTTATCCACTAGACCACTTGGGCCACGAGAGCCACCTCTTGTGCAACGGGTCATATTAATTATTGAATTGAATTTTTGATTTCCCCGTCGATTGATTCAATTCAATAGGGAAAAGATTTAGTCTAATGTTTTTTAAATGGTCCAGTACAATGTTGTATAACGTCAGTCAGTTTCAACGTTCCGCAACATAACTTTACACAAATTTTTGTTCAAAAGCATATAAACTGATGGTAACCTAAACTAGAAATTGTACAGCTTATATTTTTGGAATGCGTTGATTTAATAATGTTTCTCTGCTACCACCATTCAAGTATTAAAGTATGTTATTATCACTAATTATAACAATTTTAATTTCAGGTGGTTTGCAGCAGATGAGAACCTGTGAAATAGATTGATATCATTTTATCCTGCAAATCTGATCTTTTCCCCCTTTATCGAGATTTCTCAATGGAAACATTTGTTATGAATCATCTCCGTGTTGAAGTTAAAACAACTTCCAAGCAAGAGGAAGTATTTTTATGTAGTATAGAATTTTTAAGGCTTTAGCAAACTGGCAATTTAAATGAAACGTTCAGGAGATAAATGCCGTGAGACGATGTCATTCCGTAGTTTTCTACAAACGTGTTGCAACTGGCATGGTTCACAATAAATAAAAAAATATCTGACAGTTATTCACTTGTAAATAAAATAAAAGTGCATTACATTTTCTTAATAGGTCACGTAGTTCAAGATGGACAAAGGTGGAAGCCTATTGTTTTCTGCACGCATAGTTTGTGATGTGCGTGATTAATCTGAAGTGTCTGCATCACTTTTAATAACCTTGAATTAGAGTTAGGTGAAATAATTGAGAAACAGTCACTAGAACACTGGTTTTGCAGTGAACAATGCTGTACTTCTACTGAGACTGAGAATATTTGCATTTCTGTGTCGATTAATTAAGGAACATGTTCTTTCCGACTACACTAGAACATTCCATTAGTACCAATTATATACATATATATGTCCTCGCAACTGCAGGTGAATTAGTAGATAGTGAGAAGGCGAGTCCATAGAATTTCTTTCTTCAATCATCGGCATCTGAATTGAAGGTGTTCAAGAGGTAAGTATAAGCAACTCTAAATCAAATGTTAGTTTGACAGCCGGTCAAAATCTCTGAGTTGTCAAATGCATGAATTGATTACCCGTAAGTGATAGATTAGTCCAGACGGCTTTTTTGTTATGGAAGGTATCTTTCAAAGGTTTCAAGACACGGTGGGATTACCACTACTCACTGGCAAGTCTGAAATAGGAGGAAATGTGCATCCTAGAATCCATTGGTGGCAACCATCAGCTAAATGACATCGTATCAATCACCAAACGTCTTCGAGACGTCCGTATTAATAGCCAACACGTCAAAAGTGACCAAACATTTTGGTTCTATATAGTCATTCAACCGGACATAAATTAGCTTAAACAAATTTACAGTGTGTGCTTCTTTTGTGTAGCTATTGCTTTGTTAAAGTTTGAATACAATTTAAAGCTGTCAAGTAACAGATGCAGTACATATATATATATGTTGTGGTGAACATAAGTTTCTCTTACTGTTAAGCTCAATCTCTTATGTTTGATTTAAGCTAACTATTTCTTTATTTAAAATGAACTTCCTCAACAAGTGATTATTATTATTAAACGCTGGACTAAATATACCATTTCCAAGAGGTGAGATTCGTTCACCAGGCTGAAATTGTATTTGTTCGTTGAAAGGCAGTTTTTAGTTCAATATCATGATATGTCGTTAAATTCTATAGCATTAGTAGAACAATATGACTTTTTGTCCTAAGGAAACACCAGCTCTACGTGATAAACCATTAAGACTATTGACTAGACTTCTCTTTCAAATGAAGGAACAACTGTAACAATAGGCAGTTTTGATCGACATTTTTTAATAGCATTACGCCCTTTTTTTAAAAACTATAGCACTATTTTTCTTCTAATTAACTCCCTGAAAGTTCACTTGTGTTTATTTACCTTTCAGGTTATGAAGTAATGATGAAGGCTAGAGAAAATTTCATTACTCTGTCTCCACCAGCAGATGTCTCTGAAGTTTATTGTATCTACAGTTCTGGCCTGATAACTATGAAGAAGTTAGTTTATAAACCAGCAGGCCTTTATCGAGATGCATTTCCTAACCAAGCACCAATACTAGAATATGACGATGGTGATGGAACAGTCAACTTGGAAAGCTTGGAAGTATGTACCCATTGGCCTAATGTAAAGATTATTCATTTGCCTGCATCGAGTCATGTACCCATAATATCTGACCATCGATTTATTCAATTCGTTCAATCTCATGTAACCAGCTAGAAATGCAAGTGTATTGAAAAAAGTGCACCATTTTAAATGAAATAAAAAAGTTTTGAAAAGAAACAAAGTGACGTTTATTCATAGGAGTTAGAATGGCTGGATTTCAATAGAACACTAGTCGTCTAAGAATGTTCGATTTCATTCTGAATAAAAGATGGCATTTAAATATACATATTTGAATAAATCCTTATCTAGTTGGGGTTTTCCTTCTAAAATATCATTTTATTTTGAATAAACTTAGTTGTCAAGACTGCATCGATTTGGACGGCTATCTCGAAAAGTTAATGTACGTCGGTAGCACAGCGGTTAGGACTCTCGCCGACCATGTACATGGTCCGGGTTTCGATCCCCTGCCGACGCACGCCTGATATGTATGGTCGGCCTGCAAACTTTGGGCTACCGATATCATATGCTGAAAATTCCATACTTGTACCAAGAATACTGTGTGGTCTCAAGCTATAGTCAAAAAAATAATGCTCACTTTAAACTTCAATTTCCACCTACCTAAAGGGAACCTGATTACCAAGGAGGAGAAACAAATAAAACAATGGGACGATCACTTTAAAGGACTCTTGAATCGACCATCACCTGCAACTCGGCCAGAAATACCACCAACAGCACGCACGGAACTGACTGTCAGTGGACACCAATCCTCCAACGAAGGCAGAAACCCTAAATGTGATAAAGCTACTGAAGTTCAGCCGGGGAGGTGGCAAGACTAGATGGAGTCCCTCCATCCCGAAGTACTGAAACGGACCCAGAGGCAGTGGCCTATGTGCTCACGCCATTATTGCTAAATGTTTGGAAGGAAGGAGAGGTGCCTAGTGATTGGAAGAAAGGCTACTTTGTCAAGCTACCAAAGAAGGGAGACTTAGGCCCCACTCCTCAAGAACTGGCGTGGAATACTGCTTTTTTCCACGCCAAAGTAAAATACGAAGTCGCCTTATCTTGGAGAGAATGAAAGACGCACTGAATGCAGAACTCCGCCAACCCAACTAGAACAAGCTGGCTGAATTCAGGAGGGGCAAATCATGTGCCTATCAAATTACCCCTTTACGCATCGTATTCACAGAACAAAGCATAGAATGGTAGTCAAACCTCTCCCTATATCAACTTCATCGACTTCCGAAAGACCTTCGATAGCCAGCGTTAACCGAGAAGTAATTTGTAAACTACTTCAACATTATGGAGTGAAGTACCCCAAATCTTTAACAACCTCATCCAAAAGTTATATGACAGTGTCAAGTGATGCACAACGAAAAACTCGGTGAAACCTTCCAAGTGAATACAGAAGTAAGAAAAGGCTGTCTATTATCACCAATCATGTTCTTAATTGTGGTGGACTGGATTATGCGTCAGACTGTGAGTGAGGAGTGAGGAGACAGGAACACGCTGGACCACGGATAAGCAGACTCTAGAAAAGCTGGATTTCTCAGATAATATATGTCTAATGTCACACAAGCTCGAGGACTCACAGGCGAAAAGCAACAAACTGGCTGAAGGGGCTGGTAGCGAAGACAGTACTCAAAGTGAACATAGAGAAGACGGAGGTGATGAAGACAACCAACGAACCGCATCAATAACTACCAGTACCAATCACCATCAAAGGGGGAATTCCTTCCAACCACAGGCAGTCGGAACCGATGAAGATGTCAAAGTCAACTAGTCAACCAGAATCGGAAAGGCGACATACACCTTCATCACTCTGAAGTAAGTTTGGAGATCTTCTGCACTCCACCTCAGCATAAACAACACGATTCCAATTTCTAACACAAGTGTGAAGTCAGTCAGCACTCCTATATGGGTCATAAACTTGCACTGCTAAACGTGAAGAGCGTTTCAAATAGCCAGATGTAGACTTTATCAAAAGTGGTCTTCACTAGTGATAGGATCCCACACACTTTGTTATTGACTGTTAATCTCGCACATATGGTATATTATCATCTCTCACGCACTTTGTTATTGGCTATTAAGATCAATTATTTCAAATGCTGTTAGCTGTCCATATTGTTGTAAAAATGTATAAATACCATGACTTTCTTTGTCGTTGTTGTTGCACTACAATACACAGTCACAGTCCAGCCTTTGTCTTTTGATATTTGTGTGCTTCACTGAGTCGGAAGGTACCACAAGCAGATAGGCATATTAGTCAGGCGCAGACAGAACAAGGAGACAACGTCCTCATTTAATTCCCTACCGTTATAACAACTAGCCCCATACTGAAGAACAAATAGCCAGAAATAATTAGTAACAAGAAACTTTGTCAACAAACCAACCAAAAGCCGATGGCGTAACAAATATTTAGGAGAAGATAGAGATTTTTTTTGATTACAGCTTGATTCTACACTGTATTTTTGGTACCAGTATGGAATTTTCACCATGTGATATCGGTAGCCCAAATTCTACAGGCCGACCATAGACATCGGGTGTGCGTCGGCAGGGGATCCAACCTCGGAGCATGTTCATGGTCGGCGAGAGTCCACTGCTCGAGTGGAATCCAAATGGGAACCAACGAGTGGGTCGTGACATGCAGGAGGTCATGTAGCGAGGAGGAGATGAAAGACTATGGACAATCATGGGCACGGCCAGCTGAAGAGTACAGCAAAGAATAGGACAAAGTGCAGGTGTGCTGTTAAAGCCCTATGTTCAACTCGGAACCCAAGTGAATAGTAATAATAATAAAGTATCAGCTTACTAGACTGTAGTAACTTTGATTTCTCCTTACATCACATGGGTGCAATGTACTTTTCATTTCCTGGTAACATGGTTGTTTAAGGGTGGTGACCAGTCAGTCGTTAAAACTGTTCGCTGGTTAGGTACTTTTATCTTTCGGATGGCTAAGCAATTGAGCGATAGAGATAATTTAGAGCTTACGATGATGGAGTACAAATGTTCGGAATATTTATCATAGACTGGAAATCAACGAACTGGGTGATCACATTAACACACACTTCAGAAAACAGCTGGAAATATTTAGTATGGACTGAATCAATTATGAGAATTGTGCCTCTTAAGGGTGAAGCCTAGCCCCTGACTGTTCTTCCTTCACCGATTGAGTAATAAAAACCAGGTGTTCAAAATTCAAGCCAATGACGCCATAGCAGATGTGAATTTCATACTTGTACCACTGTCAACATTAATGGCCGAAGACAGACATTGTACTTAAATTATCAACTATGCCTAATTGTTTTGCAGACGAAATTCATCACAATGATTCACATATTAAGAATACACACATTTCAGTAGTCAAAATTAAGAAATAACTACTGATGACGAGTCCCAAATAGGACGAATTGCGCATCCTGGATTCCACTGCTAGCCACCATCCATCAATTGTAAAGTATTTTAAAGCCTAAATATCGCATAGAGGTAGACTGATGACAGTTAGTTTTGTTGTTCATTTACATTTAATAGAACAAAGCCTGAAATCTTCGACACATTCAAAGAAAGGCAAGTGCTGGGTTGTTGCATTCCCTTCGTGTAAACTTGTCAGAGTAGCAATCAGTGGAAAATTAGACGCACATTTTACCGTCAATTACACCGGCATGATTGCCACTAAGCGACTGAAATTAAGTGGAAAGTAGATGTTAGTATGAAAAGATTACAAAGAAAAAAGATATCAAAAGTTATAGTGAGTGATGAGAGAGCATTGTCTTATAACACTTATGGGTTGTCATAATATTTTATACCCTTTATTTCCCATGAGTACTACTGGAACTAATTCGTTCATCTCATTTTCGGATACTAGCTACTCGTGACTATATGCTAGTGAGCATACTCAACAGTTTCAAAAAGAACTAGATCTTACAAGAAACTTATGAAAATATTTGAATTGGTGTTTAGTAGTCTAAATTGTACAACTGATAGTCTAGCTTCGGACATCTCGTCGATGTACTAAACTGTGATTCTCCTATAGATTGTGATTCCAGTTCAGTATTTAGTTTTAGTCTGTTGTGCACATGACCATTTCACTTCCTAAATTTTCACTATTCACTCCAGTGATTAGGGGAATACAGAAACACCAGTTAACTACTATTGTCCTGCTCCACAGTAGAGCTACTACCTGAGATTTTACTTTCCATTTTGTAGACATCTCCCATTTCATTCTTTTGAATTAATGCACGGATACAATTCATATTGCAAACCAATGACCTCAGGATGATTTGGAGTGATAATCAGAGATGTATTATTATAAGATATCAAACAACGTCAGTATTTTATCCACGGTCTGGGTCACAAGCTATATTTACCAAAAAAAACAGTGTAACTAACTTGAATGAGATTTATGACTTGTTAATAGAGTACTTAAAGTTTCCCTGTAGCTATTGATTTCTCCTGAAGTTAGACAGTCTTGAGACCAAAATAACTGATCTTCGTTACGCATCTTATATATATATATATGTTCACAATGGAATATGGGGCTTCAGTAGCACCTCTACTTTTCACTCTGTTCCCTGGAGTCCATTTTCGCTGACAGCACGGTTGGTCATAAGCATTCCGTTCCTCCTTCACACGAACGCCCAACTCATCGTTTCCCATCCGCTTTCCACTAGAGGCCGTGGCACATGATGTCATTCAGTGGGATCTTGAATGTATGTCCAGTCCATCTCCGTTTCTTTCCGCATACTTGTTTGGCAATAGGTTCTTGTCAAAGTTCCTTTTTACTCATCCTTTCTGGTCATCAGATCCTCTACATCAGGCGAAGGTAGCTGTTGATGAAGGTCTGCATGTGGCTGTTAGAAAGGGTCTTCTCAACGCACGTTGCAAGTCTGTGAACCATACACAGAAGAAGTGACTTGGCATTGGTTTATTATTGTTACTATTGCCATAGAAAATGTCAGTTTTATTCTACGTGTTGAATGCAGGAGATTTCTATACAGATTTCACAGTGATTATTGTCTACCTTGCTTTTTTAATCCTGTCTTTGACATCTTCATCAGTGCCACCTGTAGTTGAAACGAAGCTACCCAGGTGCTAATTGAAAGAATTAAGTTTCCTCAGACTTTTATCGTTGGTGTTAGTTGACGCTTGTTGCTGCTGGTTAGGTATCTTCATCACCTCTGTCTTCTCGGTGTTCACTTGAAGTCATGTTTTCGCTGACCCCTCTGGCAAGTTGTTAGTTTTCTCCTGCAAGCCTTCGAGTTTGTGGGATGTGGAACATAAATCACCCGCGAAGTGCCAACATTCTTTGGCCTTCTTGTCATTTCAAAGTATTTTTGTCTTCTGGCTGCGTATAACCCACCTCATGATCTAGTCGACCGTAATCAGGAACATTATTAACTATGTTAAGCAACCTTGTCTTACTCCTGACGTTTTTGAAGTCAGTGAAGTTGACCGCTATTCTTAGCTCTGTTCGTTGGTGATGCGTAACGTTGCGGTTAGATCGGTATAGGATTTACTTTTCCTGAGTCCAACTTCTTCCAGGTAGAATTTCACACCCAGAGCATCTTCTAATTTCTCCAGGATGATGTGGCTTAATATTCTGTTTGGAGTAGACAGGAGTATTATTCCTTGTCAATTACCGCAAAGTCTTAAATCACACATCTTTGACAAAGTAGCCCTACGTCCAATCAGTAGGTATCTTCCCCTCTTTCCAAGCTTTGTGCAATACTGGGACGAGTATATCTGCTGATTTCTTTGTGTCAATTTTCAGTGCTTCTGTAGAAGTCACATCTGGTCCTACTGCTTTCTTAGTTGGTTTTCAGTAACTTCATAACAATCAAGCATTTTGCTTTAATAGGAGGATTGGTGTTCACTGGTAGTTCTGGGGCTGTTAGTGGCATTTCGAAATGAAATTGCAATACTCATTTAACAAATTACACCTGTCCCTACTAATTGCATTAATTCGCAGTAGCTTCATTCTGTTCGTGCATTATATTTATTGTTACTCACCTAGTGAAATGAACATTACACTGACTGCTATCTTGTTCTTTCTTCAGCCATCTTTGCTACCATATCCCTTCCCCTAAACCTATAAAATTATATTTGTCTAAATTATTTATTTTATTTTATTTATTTTGACCACTTTATCTTTAATTTACGTGTTATTCTTGTAAAATTAATTTATTCTATCCATTTCCACCTTTTAAATGTGTATTGATTTTCTTCGTTAACTATTAACCCATTGACACTGTTTAATTATTGTTAACAAACTTATCTCCACTTAATTGGCAAACTGTTGTATTGTAATTAAAATGCTATACATATTAGAGTAGAGCCAAAGATGAGGATCTAATTGAAAAGTCAATATTTCTTCGCTCAATCTTTCTGTTTTCTAAATGTCTAAATGGGGATTTTTTCTTTATCCTTTATTTGTATTCATACGCTTTTTTTTATTGTTCTCCTTTATTACATCGACTGATTTATTGGTTAATGAATTGATTTTCCAACTGTGGAGTGCACTTAATCACAAACCACTACTGGTTCTTTCTTTCATTTAATTGATCTGTTTCTCTCAAAGAAGCACCGCGACTAGAGATTGTTAGTATTAGAGTTTTAGTCATAATCTTATTTATAGTATGGTGATTGTGTTCTGTGCTCTAACTCAGCCTTTTAACATCAGTTCACTGAGATCTTAATGTCACCGTTTAAGATGTATACACATAAAAATAAAGTAAGGATTGAATTAATGAGTCTATAATTAGAAAAGTTCAGTAAAATTTAAATTTTTGTATGCCTCTAAATGTTAAAAATACTATGGAATTTTTCCATACTCCACAACTTTTGATGAACTAGTCATTATACTTTAAAAATAGAAAGGTAATCCAGGGTTAATAAAGATAAATTTATTACTATTCCAAAATATCCTCGAATCACCTGTCTCGACTAATAATTATGATCTTCTATACGACTTTCTTTTACAAAATCTCTATACATTAGTAGAAAATAACTGCAGAGAAAAATTAAAAGCTGCCACAGTTTCATATAGTAGAAAAATATATTGTCAAAATGATTTCAAATCGGTCAAATAATACAATATAAATGCTGCATGCTATGCATATGAATACGATACAAACTTTTCATTTTTGGAGTTTGACGGGTTTTTGCTAATGACGATAAGACTGGGTGAAAGCTAACAGTGATGCAGTATGCATACTTAAAATTTCTTGTACAAAGATAATTTGAAAATTAACTAAATTTGAAGTTTCATTCAATCAAAGACATCCTATATTAGTTATCAAGTCAACTAGTATTACATGTATTTTATGGTTATCAGCCCAGAGTAATCATGCCAAGGAAACATGAAATGCATGAATGTTTCACAAATTAAATATCAAAATCAAAAGTGATTACGTTTTTAAGCAATCACAATAACTTATCAGTGGTTCTAAGAAAGAAAAAATTAACAACAGTAAGAGTTTTGTACACCAGACACATAATAATTATGACGCTCAGAATCCGGTATATTTTTTAGGACATTCATGTAAAGGCTACAACTTCCGGAATATCCATTGTGTTTAATGCTCTTCAGCCAATCGATGTATGTTTGAGGAAGTCTAGACTGAACAGCTCCACGAATAATTATGTCTAAATAATAGGGAGATGGGTCTCCTGGCTCAGACGTATTTAACATATACGTCCTACAGTTAATAACCTAAAAAATAAAAATTATCATCCACAACAAACCGATGAGGTGTCACATGCAATTTTGACTGAGACTTCTACGGGTCTGTACAGGACAGGAGCACTCTCTTGCAAATCTAGCGTACGCATATCGCTCATACACATCTTCCAAACAGTTCCATAAACACAACTGGACGGTGAAGGATTAATAGTTGCCGTAGCGCCAAACCAATTATTGCTATAGCCACCAAAGGAAAGAATATAATCATTTACTACTCCAACACCGACGTATTCAGCTGATTTATTTGACAGTTGTATGCGTTCTTTTAGTAAATTGCTTCCAAAAGCAAAATAGTAAAACATTAGTGTCGCAAATATCCACGAGAGAAAGGTCAATCTGCAAAGAAGAAAATGTTGATCAACTTCTATAGCAAAACACAACAGTATATATATATATATATATATATATATATATAGATTAAAAACAGTGAGAACTGAATATAGTAAAGATGAACATTAACCTATATGGTTTCAGGTTAGTGTGAAGTCTCTCGACAAATTGACAGTTTCTTACGATGTTTTCTCGCCTAATCGTACCACCCAGGGGTGTAGCGAGGTCACTGATGTAGCCACTAAAATGCCCACAATTGTCGTAGAGGATGCAGTAGTTCTCAAACTACCAATCTAAACTGAAGCCAGGTAAATCACCTGAATCTGGCGGACTTCACCCTAGACTGGCAGATATACATTCCACTGACGGAGATTTTTCAAATGTCTCTGACCCAAGCCAGGCTACCCAGGGAACGGAAAGATGCTTTTATAAACCCAATCTTCAAAGAGGGGAACAGGCAGTTAGTATCTAACTACCAGCCTGTAAGTCTGACCTGCATTATAGCAAAGATGTTAGAAACACTCATAAGGGATCAGCTCTTAGCTCATATAGAAAAACATGGCTTACTGGCAGTGGAACAGCATGCATTCCGACCAGCACGATCCTGCTTGACAAACTTGCTGTCAGTTAGGGAAGATTGGGTCGAGGCCAAGGACAAGAACCATATACTGGATGTTGTCTTTATCGATCTTAGTAAAGCATTCGATAAAGTATCCCATCTAGGTCTTCTTAGTAAAATTAAACGTTTTGGATTAGACCAACACTTATGAGTGGTTTAGCGACTACCTGATGGATAGAAGGCAGATGGTAAGGGTTAATGGTGTACTGTCAGGGTGGAGAGCAGTGCTAAGTGGGGTACCCCAGGGAACTGTATTTGGTCTCCTGCTATTCCTATTATACGTAAATGAAGTGCCGAAAATTCTTACCTCATCTTCCTTATTATTTGCAGACGATATTACGACATGGAGAGCCGTAAATAGTAACGATGATAGGTTGGTACTGCAAAACGATTTAGATAAATTAGCCGAATGGGCTAACATCTACAGTCCGGAAATTAATTCCAAGAAAAGCAGGGTAATGCGCCTAGGTCAGAAGTCTTATACGTTGTACTCCCTGGGGGGACACAGAAGTGACAGATGTTAGGGGAAAAAACGACTTAGGAATTAATGCAAGACATTACTTAAAAACAACGGCAAATTGTAATCGAGCCGTACCTAAGGCTTTTCGAATGCTATTGGCACTTCGAAGGGCTTTCAAACGACTAGACGAGGGTATGTTCTAAGTACGCTATGCAACATATGTCAGACCTCACTTTGAATACCACATACAAGCGGTGAGTTCATGCTTCGAAAAAGAGACATATCCTGGAAAGAGTACAAAGGGTAGGAACCAAATTAGTTAGTGGTATCTAACACCTTCCTCATGATAAGATGGAGTATTTAAATCTCTTCCGATTATCATACAGAAGGGGGAGACGCGACTTAAATTTGGCTTACCGTATATTAAAGGGTGGTTCTGAGATTGACCTTTCAAACCTTTTGTCTCCCCCTAGGATACACTTACGAGGTCAAAACAAGGTGCTCGAACCGAGGTCGAATAAAATACGTGTGCAATTTAGATTCTCCCACAGAGTGGTCAACGACTGGAACTCTTTACCTGATCCAGTAGTAACAGCTTCATCGGCGAACGCTTTCAAAGAGAAACTGGATCTCTGAGGAGATAAATATTGCAAGGATTAACATATATAACATAACCGTTCTATCCTTATAATCTGAATTTGAATCTGTTAAGAGCGGTACGGTCTTCAAAGAGAAAGATTTTCAAGACCTTATATTTTTTAAGAGGACTAAAATGACATCATAAGACAGTCTGTGGAAGACACTCAAGATTAAGCGCACCCTCCAGTAACAGTAATGGAAAGACTGCCGCGAAGAAGAGGCGTACCAGGGGTCGAAAACCTGCAGCTCCAGTCGCCCAGGGACTGGCGGAACAAGCCTCATCCACACCGGTGAGCAGCAGACAGAAAACCCCATTACGATTAGCGAGGAGGACGCCAATGAATGGCGCAATGTAGTCTCTCGCAAAAAGCGAGATAAGGATAACACTTCGGCCACACCGCCCAAGAAGGATAGAAACACACTTACGCCTCAGGGCAAGAAAGTCACGGAAAGCAAACCCGATCTCTCTGACAGGTCTCTCATTCTCCACAAAGTGGAGGAGTCACTGGCCCTCGACCCTAAGGCCAGATTCGAGCATGACCTTAACTTGGTCAAGCCCCTTTTAGACAAGCTACTGCCACAAACAGTATCAGGCATTACTATACACAGCGTATACAGAATAGGTCAAAAGCCTGACCCTACAGTAAGTGAACCTGTACGTCTCCTCAAAGTCGTACTAAACTCTAAAGCAGAGAGGGATGCTATTCTAAGCAACTCTCATATTCTCAAAGGATCAGGGATATATGTCCGCGCTGACTTAAGCCTAGCAGACCGTGTCAAAAGACAGGCTGCGGCACTAGAATTAAGTGAGCGACGCCGGAACGGTGAGAAGAACCTTAAGATTAAGGGTTTTCGGGTTGTCCGAGTTCGCAGTTTAATGATCCCGAAACCTCTGTGGGTGGGCCGGGGAAGCACCAATCTGAATTAACAGTCTGCTACACAAACGCCCGCAGCCTGTTAAATAAAAGGACTGAGCTGGCAAACATGATAGAAACCGGAAACCCGGATGTAATTATTATCACAGAGACATGGCTCACACCCGATGTCACTGACAACGAAGTTAACCTGCCAAACTTCGAAGTGCACAGGGTAGACCGACTAAACCGCAAAGGAGGGGCGTAGTCATCTACCTCAAGAAAGGCTTAACCGTGCGTAGTATCGAAGCACTCGCCCACGAAAGTGAGTCGTGCGAACTTCTACGCTGCAGACTTAAATGCATAGGCCAAGACATTGACCTCATTGCTGTGTACCGCAGTCCTGACTGCAGTGCAGACGACTTCCTAATAGAGAAGCTAGGCTCCTGGACTTCAAAATGTCGAAGTCTCGTAGTCGGTGACTTCAACGCCCCAACAGTTGACTGGTCGAGCCTAACAACTCCATCTTCAGTCATAAACTGCTAGAATCTAGTATATCGCTAGCCCTAGTCCAACATATCATTAAGCCCACGCGCTATGACTCACAGCACTCCTCGTCAACTCTGGACCTAGTGTTCTCCCACGGTGAGGATGTGGATCTCATACAACATCTTCCTCCGTTAGGAAGAAGTGACCATGCTGTGCTCACTTTCAAGTTCACAGCAACGGCAGCAAGGGCCAAAACCCCAGCTCGACCAAACGTTTGGAAAGCTGACATAAATGCGATCGTCTCAGCAGCCAACTCAGTAAACTGGTACATCAATCCAGAGTCCCAAGTAGAAGCCGCATGGAACCAATTTAAGCAACTTTACGCCCAAGTAACTGTACCTTCATCCCTTGGTCTGTTCCAAAGGGTCGGAAACATTCCCCCCTTGGATAAACCGGGAGATTCGTAAGTTACTCAGACGTAAACGCAAATGTTGGAACCTGTTTGCAACACTTGAGACTTCTGAGACCAGGGAATTATATAATACTGCTAGAAATAAAGCTATCGCAGAAATCCGCCAATCAAGGATGAAGTTCGAGACACACCTGGCCCAAAATGCAAAGGCACAACCTAAGAAAATTTTCTCGTACTTGAATTTCAGGAATAAAACACCCAATGGTGTCCCAAACCTGATTATTGACAAAGATACAATCGAAGAAGATCAAGAAAAAGCAGAAGCAATGGCAAACTACTTCTCCCAAGTCTTCACTCAGGAGTCATCACTGCCTATAGGATCAGCTCTGGCTGCATCAGAAGAACATGGGATAGATTCCGTTGACATCGACCAAGGCATCGTGCTCAACTTCTTAATGAAACTAGATGCAGGAAATCAATGGGTCCTGACAATCTTCATCCAAGGCTTCTCAAGGAGCTATCAGCCCACATAGCCGGCCCCTTGACCACGATCTTCAAGCTATCTCTCCTAAATGGAGTGTTGCCACGTGATTGGAAAGACGCCATAGTAACCCCCATACACAAAGGAGGATCAAGACAAAGCCCTTCAAATTACAGGCCTATCAGTCTCACCAGCACTTTAATCAAGACACTGGAAAGAATTATCAAGAAAAGCATCATGGCTTATCTGGAAAATAGCAGCTTGTTATCTGGAGCACAGCATGGCTTCCGGAGGAACCTCTCATGCCTGTCAAATCTCCTGACTGCAAGAGAAAGCTGGGTCAAATCAAAGGACAACAGAAGACCCGTTGACGTCGTCTTCATAGACTTCAGTAAAGCCTTTGATAAAGTACCTCACAAAAGACTACTCATGAAATTGGAAAGTCTTGGTATCAAAGGCAGACTACTAGACTGGCTCAGGGAATTCCTCATAGATAGGAGGCAGAGGGTTAGGATCAACTCAAAACTCTCCTCCTGGACAGCAGTAAGTAGCGGAGTGCCACAAGGCACGGTTCTCGGTCCTCTCCTTTTTATTCTGTATATCAATGAGTTACCTCTGCTCACCGACTCCCCTATGGTCCTATACGCAGATGACTTAAAAATTTGGAGAGCTGAAGGGCAACAGTGATACGTTCACGTTGCAAGAGGACCTCAACAAATTGTCGGAGTGGTCTGTTGAATGGATGCTCCCGATCAATGTGGCAAAATGTGCAACCATGCGCATTGGACAAGCAAGCACAAGCTCCTACGAACTAGAGGGAATAACACTTCCATCAGTTCAGACTCACTTGGACTTAGGTGTCATAGTTAGCCACGACTTAAAAACTACAGCACACTGTCGCGCGGTGGCTGCACGTAGTTTCAGGTCCTTATGGGCGATTCGCAGAGCCTTTACAAGAATTACCAGAGATATGTTCACCTCCTTATACACATCTCTGGTTAGGTCAAGACTGGAAAAC